GGAACCATGAGGGCTGGGGACCAAGGGTTCATGTCCACTTTAGACCCCCAAACAAGTCGTCTTTCGTAGAAAAGCTTTCCGTTTGGTATTGGGAGTGCCCCTCAAAATTGATCCATGAGGGGTGGGGACCAAGGGTTCATGCCCACTGTATAGACTCGAAAACAAGTGGTCTTTCGTAGAAAAGCACTCCTTCCCTTCATTCAACCATGAGGGCTGGGGATCAGGGGTTCATGCCCACTTTAGAGTCCAAAACGCGTTGTTTTTCTTTTGCATGCATGCTATCAGGATTTCCCTGCAAAATGCAACCATCAGGGTTGAACTGAAACCACTTAGATCTACCGCTCACCTAGCCTGCCTGTACTCCTACTTACTGCTGTCCCAACCAAGACTTAGAAACTTCTTGAGAAGGACTGCCCAAGACATCGCCAAAACACTAAAATGACACGGGTAAGAGCTTCAATCCACAAAGCGTTAATCGTAAACCGCGACAAGGATTAAGGATTAGGCGTGATGCAATCAGGCAAAGCGCTTTAAAACATGTGGGGAGCACCTTCAACCTCCGGAGCCTCCTCCCGAAGTTGCTCCAGAACCTGTTTCGCAGCCTCTCGGAACCTGCCTGGAAGCCCTGGAACCTGCTCTGCAACTTGCCACGGACCTTGCAAGTTCCCGAGCAAGTTCCGGAGCAAGTCCCGGAGCAGGTTCCGGAGCAAGTCGCGGAGCAGGTTCCGGAGCAAGTCCTGGAGCAAATTCCGGAGCAAGTTCCCGAGCAAGTTCCGGAGCAAGTCCCGGAGCAGGTTCCGGAGCAAGTCGCGGAGCAAGTTCCGGAGCAAGTCCTGGAGCAAATTCCGGAGCAAGTTCTGGAGCAGATTCCGGAGCAGGTCCCGGAGCAAATTCCGGAGCAAGTTCTGGAGCAGATTCCGGAGCAAGTTCCGAACCTGGCTCCGGAACCTGCTCCAGAACTTACCTCCTCCGCAACCTGCTTTTGAAACCTAGTTCTGAACCTTCTGCGCAACCTCCTGTGGAACCTGCTCCGTTCCTTTACTATGGCTGAAGACCCCTTAAGCTTCACTGTTGGAAAATCAACAACATAAATCAAAAATCAACTGTGGTTGGCCATGTTTGCTTAATACTCGCAGGCCACAGGACGGTTCAACCAAACCAAGTAGGTGAGCGATCGCCTGTGGACCAGGTCCGCCCATTGATCCAAACAGATTTATCCCTTCCCCAGGGAAATGCTTGTTGACTATCAAACGGTCTGTCATGCGGCACGTTTCATCTGCCTTCCATGTAACAAGCTTGGCAAATCTATCCTAGCTCTTCTTTTGCGGGTGAAAGCAACTACATTAACTACATCCAAGCAAAGCTCCAGCTTGCCAAGCTGCCATTCACACTGAGCCTGTTCACCCTTGCGTGTTTCCACACATTCGCAGTGGTGGTGCTGTAGACCTTCCATGCATACTCCGCACCAGGCACCAAGCCCGAGACAACGGCCTTGGCCCAGCCAGGTCGGTTCCGCAGAAATCCATGGGCATAGGTACCTCACGCTCTCCGCCGCCCGGCCGTGACGAACACGGCCAAGATCACCCGGCCGCCACGCGGGGAAAACCGTGGGCGACAGCTCGAACAGCAGGAAAGGACACAAGAACCCATAAGCAAAAAGAGAAGCGAAAGCCAATGCAAGCCAAATCATACCTATTTATACCTATACCTTACATGTGAATATGTGCGCAGCCGCCTGAATGTGTGTGAATCTTCAAATCCCACTTGCACAGCAAACTAGTGACTCCCCGCTTAGCACAATTTGGAGCAGGGACCCGGAAGCTCAAGAAGGAGCTTGATTGGTTCACCAGTTTTCAACACCACCCACTTTGGAATTCTCTGCGGCCACTAGCATGTTTCATGCAAGGTGATGCCAAAGCATCGGCTTGTCATCGCTTCTTCTAACTACTTGGTCATCGCTGGGGGGTCATCGGCCGAGCAAGTGATCGAGTCGCTGCTGAACCCATCCGAGTCCTGTCTCACCCTCTGGGCACCGTTGTTTTATGATATCACCATGGTCAAAACTGAGGGATCAATGCGGTCTACCAACGCAGAGACATGGCATAGCACCAGGCTTTCGGGGTTCTGATCTTGCTTGGTGTTGCCCGACACGCCTGCAGAAGTGACTGCCACTCCCACTCTGAAAGAAGTGCAGCCGTGGTGCGTGTGTGCGTCCAACCCGAGAGATCGCACCGGTAGCCGTTGTGGAGGTAATAGGTGTAGGTGGCAGTCCATTGCAAGTTGGACTGTCCCCGGTTGTTGAAATTATTCCTGAGACCGCTGGCCAGCCGGCCGCAGGTCAGGGCAGGTCGCTGGTCCAGAGCAGGTGTCTTCTAGCTTTGCGCCATGGTGTTTTGGGCATTTTCAGTCATTTCCAGTACTATTACTACTGGATCCGGGTATCATAGGTGTATGTGTGGGTGTTCTGGATATGGTGGCATCCACTCTCGTAGGTCATCGTTCCCCCCCCCCAGATTAACCCACCCACCAGGCGTCTCTTCCCAGGTCGACAGGTGCTCATCCACGGCCTCGTCATAGCGCTTCACCGCCAAGCCGCTCAGCTGCACGTGGAGTGAACTGAGCGGTTTCAGCGGTTTCAGCAAAGCGCTGCAAACACAATCCGCGCAGGCTGTGTTAACATGTGTTAAAACCGCTAATAATGGTTGATGTGTGTGTGCCCCTCTTTCTTGATGACCTCCCCCTGATGAAAAATGACGCTGGTTGTTCACCAACACTTCCGCACAAAAGGTGCGGAAGGCAACCAATCCATTCCAATCCTGGAAGCTGAAGAACATGCACTTCCTGGGAGCTGCACTTCACAGTGCCAGGATGTACCATCCACCCACCACCGATCGCAACGATCGGCGATGATTCGGGTGTACCGCTTGCACGGTGATGAGAGATGAAATTGGTGATAACTTGATGCGCGTGTTGAGAAACATCAAGCATCAATGGCCGTTGTGTGGCCGTTGTATGCCTTTGTATGAGTTCTTTAATGTTGGCAAATGTCCCTCATGTTAAGCAGCCTTATGTTCTAAAAACGTCCGTCATCCAAAACCTCTGCCAAAACCTGCAGAGCCCAAAATCTGTCATTCTTACTTGCTGGGGGTTCCTGCTTGAAGGTCAATGTGAGTGTTGCTCCGGTCAGTGTAGCGGCACAGGTTTTGTGACATGACTCTGCGCCACGCAGTCACTGTGCCGCTTTCTTGAGCTGCTGGTTCCTTGATGTTATGACAGGGTACTTAGGACTTCTTTGTCTAGTTTGCACGAAGATACTTTCCTTGAAGGTGTCCAGACTTTGTACAGTAGACGTAATCTCCTGACACTGTAGCTGAACAGTTTCCTGACATGACTCTGCTGCTTGTTCGCGCAGTGCTAGTTTCCAGCCATGACATATCATGACATATCATATGTTCCTTGACTCATGGTTGCTGACACGCCTCGTAGTTTCTTGGCACTGACAACTCTGCGCTTCACTGTTCTTTCTTGACTCGGCAGAGCACTTGTTTGCACTTCTTAAGCCATTGGTCAAGCTAGTAGCCTATTGGAAATCAGCAAACAACTCCATACAAAACCATACGTCTTACCACCGTCTTCATCTGAAATTGTTGAACCCTTTGAGTCTACCTATTGATCCAGCAAAACGACGCGCTCAAAGCTCTCAGGCGGCGGCTGCCGTATGAAGGTGAAGATCAAGCGTCCCCCGCTATCCTGAGGTGTCATGGCCCAACAACGCCCCTTTGGTGGTGATCAAAGAGATAGATTGAGTTTGCTGCAGCAGCAGCAGCACAAGCACAAGCACAAGCACGAGCAAAGACATGCTGCAGACTAGTCATGATGCGGACCACAGCAAATTGGGTCTATGAGCCTATCAGCTTGGAACTTCTCTGTGACAGCGTGGCTTGTGGAACATCGGTAGCCACGGTCAACCGGGGTCCTCGAATCCACCGGAATCCACGGTCTCTGATTGTGGACGCTGGTTCGGCTGTCCAGCCGGCCGCGGGTGCATACAAACCAACACAAACCAAAAGCTGTAGGCCCGGAGAGGTCGACAATTAAAGATCGGATCTACTGTCCACGTCAACAGCACCGGCACCGGCTCGGATCCTTTCGGTGCTGTGAGACGATCGCCCCTTTCGGATCTGCCAAATCCGGTGAGTCTGCGAAGCACTTGGCACGACACCGACACCACTTCACCCCGAGCCCCGAGCCTGACTGCAAAACGATACCCAAACGCACGGACGGGTGAAGAACCCTCCACGCATCGCATGAACACGCCGAGCCAGCCACCGAGCCACCGCCGCGGTCATGCCCCGCTTCCGAGGTGTGAAGGTGTTCGAGGACACGATTTGCTCCGCCTCGAAGATGTTGTTCACCTTCATCGCGTTCACCCCGGCCACCAGTCCTCAGGACATTGGTAGATACCGAGTGTTTTTCAACCACGTGCGTTCACCCGGGATTTTGGCTTGCAAGGAACAGGCGCCATCTACGTTACCAGGCCGGATCTGCCGGTGTCCACCGGGTTGCATGTCCACCACACTCCGCGATTCCACGCCGGGGGGGGTGGGATCTCGGTGCTCAGTGTGTGGAAGCAGAAGTTTGCAACTAGACTCACGTTGTTTCTCATTGTTTGAGGATTGCCGGGATGTTTGGAGCATCAATGGGTCATGATGAAGTTTAAAATGTGTTCATTCTGTTTCAATACTTCCCGCCGGTGATGGATTTCACGTGCTGCCACATGAACTCCAACTTTACAACGGGTTTAAGTCTCGCCTTCACCCAACCATCCCCCAGATCCTTCATTCCCAACCTGCAACCTATATCATCCTAGTGGCTGGCTGACTGGTAGACACGCCACACATAGAGTGCTCCCGGCTCCAGCCCTATCACTGTCGCCGTGGCCGTGCCCGGAGCATTGCGCAAGAAGCCGCGCGCGTAGTCCCGCGTGTGGGTGAAGCCCTTTAAGGTGACCACGTCACCGCCTGTGACAAAGCCAAGTCAGGAAAGCAGGAAAGGTGTGGTATATTGAATGTTATTCATATTTTAAAAAAGAAAGAAAAAGTTGAGAAGAATGTGCTGGGCAAACTGGTGGAGAAAACAAAAGACAAAGGTTCCGAAGGTCTTCAAAGGGAAGGCTCCTTTCTAGGATTCTCACGGTTTTTTCTTGAAAATCTACGGTACGTAAAAGAAACTGGAAGATCTCGAGCAAGTCGAGAACAGAAAACCGTTTGACCGACGGCTCAACTCGCTGGACTTCATTCGAACCAAGCCACTGCTCAGCCGTGTGGTGACAACCCGATTCGCTGGCAAATTGGTGTTCCCATCTGAGCGAGGTCAGGTCGGATGGGCCAAACAAACAGCCTCGAACCTAATAGCGATGGCGGCCTCCAACCTAATAGCAATGGCCTCCAACCTAATGGAAACAGCTTCCAAACTAACATGGGAAAAGCTCAGCAAAAGCTCGCACGAGAGCCAAGCAATCCAAGGCAACTCTTCTGCTCATTGTCACCTAGTGACTTTTGTGGGAGGCCTCCTATGTGTTTCCTGAGCAGAAAAATCTGCAAACAAATCAAATAGTGAGTACTTTAGGGTGCAACTACAAGGCCTACAAGCACTTGCTTTCATTGATTTTTACATGACAAAAATATGTTTTGGTGATGAATGGTGATGAACTGCAGATTGTATGTATTGGTCAGTCCCTGGCCCTGTACATTCCCAGCAGCATTTGGCGAAGTTCTTCTCCGCCCAGGCTGTGAGGACTGCGGCATCCGCCTGCGGGCAACCCTCGACGACTCGACGATAGACCCACCCAAAAGGTATCACAGGATCCGTCACAAGAACCTCAGTCTTCATCTCCAGAACCTGCACTCCATCCAGTCAACCAAATGGAAACCACATCAATCCACATCGAGATGCACACCTCTTCCTGCGAACCAGCGGAAATTCATTGCAAAGAAATCTGCTCATCCCGCCTCAAAACCAATGAGCCACCTCTGTCGTCCGCTGCCGTCGTCCTCAGTGTTCACCGAGCTGAAGTGTTAGTTCAACCTAGCGATGGCCTCCAACCTAATAGCTACTAGGCGATTCCGTTCGGTTCCGTTCGAATCTCCATTCTTCGAGTCAGAAATGCGTCCCTTGAGGTTCCTGTAGTTCCCCCACGGTCTCTCTATGTGCTTGGGCTGCAAAAGGATCTTGCCTTTTGAAATTGAATGGATTTGGTACAAAAAAAACTGAAAGCAGAAACCAGTGTAGGCCAAACTGCTAGACGACAGTGGGGCCCACCGTAGCACGGTAGAAGTTATATAATTAGAAATAACGGATGTTTAAATATGCGAACATAAAGATCCTAGATCACCAATATAATCGTGATGATGATGATGATGGTGATGATGAGAATAGCACAAGCCAAGGTGAATTACTGAGGAACACAGTATGTCTTTCGTGTCCTTCTCTCCTGCTCTTGGGCTTCCACCGCCAGGCCAAGAGCAAGCTACTGGCTGGGGTCCAGAGAAAGCACCCGTTGGGGGGCCCCCTCCCTGTCTCTAGGACGTTGATCCGTCGGTTGGGAATGACTAACAAAAATACCAACCAACCCAGGATGATAAAAGAACAAATAATACACCCAGAATCAATCATCATACATCATCTATATATGACTATATGTGTCAACCATCATCGGTTAGGATGACGTATGATGGTTTATGATGTGACTTGAAATTTGTGCGTTGTGTTTTTGGGGGTTACACTTGTTCTCTTCCCATGTTTGGGCTGGGGGCCTTTCAGCCACACACCATAAGCACCAAACAAGTTGTTAAAGTTTTCTGACAAACAATCGGTTGAACATTCTTCTTGGAGCCAAGTTTCTTCCAAGATGTTTTCCAAGTGTAAGTCTTGTGTTCCTAAGTGGTGGCTTGTTCGCATTGTTCTATCCCTTAGAATCGATGTAGAATCGAATAGACTCGATGTGTCCAAACAAGGACGATGGCTCCGGTCCACCCGGCGCGGCATCCCCGTTCCGTGTGAGCATCGGCGTCGCTCAACTCAATGGCTCCACCTGAGCGGCGAAGCCGGACGCCGGACGGCGGAAAGTAGGCTCGCTCAAAGTAGGCTCCAAGGCAACGGCTCAACTGATATTCTCCCCATGCTTTTTGCCTTCCTGTATTTCGGTCTTTCGTACTTCTTTCTCTTTTTGGTATCCATCTGTTCGATCCGTTGTTTCTGTCTCCGTTCGGCCGGCTCCTTCCTTCGATCCCTTCTCAGTTCTGGTGCACCTTGTCCCCCCGAAACACCCGAAACGCCATGGCAGGGCACTGGCGCTCCAACTCAAGAACTTCTTGGCACTGCTGTCCTGGATGTTGAAATAGCCTCCCGGGCGCTTGGTGATGCTCCAGCGCTGCAAGCCACTGCCATCATCACTCGCCACGAGGATGGCCTGTTTTGGTGTCACATCGCACGGAGTCGGACGTAATGGTGAAATCGATGCAGAGAACAACATGAACAACACCTACCTGGACCTTCAAAGGGGTGTCCTGGCTGGAGATCCCCTAGGAGTTGTAGGGGCTTCCAGCCAGGTGACCCCTTCGAAGGTGCTGGTACGTAGCAGCTCAAAGGCGACGTCGACCATCCATGCGAACGATCTGCCAAATGCACCGGCTGCCGACCGAGCCTACTCGGCCTAGCTGGCTTCTGGAGTGTGGCTTTAGGGGAGAATTCGGCCACGAAGCTACGTGTAGGGACGTGTCCAGAAGCGTGTCAAGCCACGTGCAATTCACGTCACGTCACCCCGTCCCCGGGACCGAGCGACTCCGAGCGAATCCGATTTCGCGGCACGGCACCGGAAGGTCCCCGGAGGTCGTCCGGCCTTGCTCCCAGAGCTGCTCAGGAAAAAGCGCCCTTTGGTGCCTTCCCACACTCGGATGGTGTACCACTCCCCTGGCCGAGGGGGCCACATGGGCAGACCAAGTCTGCCAAGTGGCCGGATGGTTGGAGCCGGGCAAGGGATCAAAAAAAAATAAAAATGCATCAAAAAACAAGTATAATTCAGGGTATCAAGAAAAACAAAAATGAATCCATAAAAAAATAAACGGACCCAAACGAGTGGAGGGAAGCGCAATAGTCCAACTCGAAGCAGTGATCAAAAGAAAAACAAAAACGCATGAAAAAAAACAAAAACTAAATCAACCTACACGGATACCTTGGATGGTCCTGTAGGGCCCTTGGGTCGAGACCAACCTATCCACCACAACGGTCGGCCTCTGCCCTCTGTGTTCGGTTCGAAATTGCCAAGAACTCAAAAGATAAGGTGTTTCAGGTTTTGGAGATTCAAGAGGTCACGGTTGAGAAGCAGGACGCCTACATCTACAAAGATCCAAAGGCCTCGACATCCAGACAGATCTAGTGTAAAGGTGTAGAGTCTAGAGACCCACAAAATCTTGCAGAGGTTCAGATCCAGCTCTTCCAAAATTTTACTGGCGTGCTAGGATGGAATGGCTTTCTGCCCTCTAACCTTTACTACTGTACATTCGGGTGGCTCACAGAAGGGCGGCGCCGCAGCCGCGCACACGGATTCAACTCAACTGCGCACACACATTTTATCGGCACTTGTGCCTCATCTGCGCACACACTTGTTAACTCAGCGTGCGCACACCCCACCATGGGGAGTCAAGTGCGCACACAGGCCCTTTCCCGAATGTTGCTGCGTATTCCAAATTTTACCCCTCGTTGCTCACTTAAAAGGGTAGTTAACTTGGAATAGCCACTTCCTTGTCTATTTTTGTTACTCTCCAGTGGCTCACCAAGGGGTGAGTCAACTTGGAATGAGCACTTCCTTCTCTAAATTTTACCCCTGCATTGCCCACAAAGGGTGAGTCAAGTTGAAATGGCAACATCCTTCTCTAAATTTTACCCTCGGGTGGCTCACCAAAGGGTGAGTCAACTTGGAAGGGCAACATCCTTCTCTAAATTTTTTCCCCTGCATGGCCCACAAAAGGGTGAGTCAAGCTGAAATGGCAACATCCTTCTCTAAATTTTACCCCTGCATGGCCCACAAAAGGGTGAGTCAACTTGGCATGGCCAGTTCCCTCTCTAAATTTTACCCTCCAGTGGCTCACCAAAGGGTGAGTCAACTTGGAATGACCTCTTCCTTTTCTAAATTTTATCCTGCCCACAAAAGGGTGAGTCAAGTTGAAATGGCAACTTCTTTTCTAAATTCTACCCTCGGAACTTGGAAGGGCAACATCCTTCTCTAAATTTTACCCCTGCATGGCCACAAAAGGGTGAGTCAAGTTGAAATGGCAACATCCTTCTCTAATTTTTAGCCTCGGGTGGCTCACTAAAGGGTGAGCCAACTTGGAAGGGCCACATCCTTCTCTAAATTTTGCCCCTGCATGGCCCACAAAAAGTTGAAATGGCAACATCCTTCTCTAATTTTTAACCTCGGGTGGCTCACAAAAGGGTGAGTCAAGTTGAAATGGCAACATCCTTCTCTAAATTTTACCCCTGCATGGCCCACAAAAGGGTGAGTCAACTCGGCATGGCCGCTTCCCTCTCTAAATTTTACCCCTGCATTGGCCACAAAAGGGTGAGTCAAGTTGGAGTGACCACTTCCTTCTCAAATTTTTACCCTGTGCGCAAAAGGGTGAGTCAAGTTGAAATGGCAACATCCTTCTCCAAATTTTAGCCTCGGGTGGCGCAACAAAGGGTGAGTCAACTTGCAGCTTTCCTGGTCACTGCAGGCAGCACAGGTCCGTAAGCTGGCCACCTGCAGCAGCACAGTGCTCACAACACTCTGGCCACCTCCAGCAGCACAGCGCTGACGAACTGGCCACTGCAGGCAGCACAGCTCCGTAAGCTGGACATCCAAAGGCCCCGACATCCAGACAGATCTGGAGTGTAGAGGTGTAGAGTCTAGAGACCCACAAAATCTTGCAGAGGTTCAGATCCAGAGACCAGGGGAACAGAGGACCAAAGGACCAGGGGCCTTACGGTCGCCTCACCTCTTCAAAATTTTACTGGCGTGCTAGAATGGAATGGCTTTCTGCGCTCTAAACTTTACTACTGTACATTCGGGTGGCTCACAGAAGGGCGGCGCCGCATATTTTATCAGCACTTGTGCCTCATCTGCGCACACACTTGTTGACTCAGCGTGCACACACCCCATCGGGGGGAATCAAGTGCGCACACAGGCCCTTTCCCGAATGAATGTTGCTGCGTATTCCAAATTTCACCCCTGCATTGCTCACTTAAAAGGGTAGTCAACTTGGAATGGCCACTTCCTTCTCTATTTTTTCCCTCCAGTGGCTCACCAAGGGGTGAGTCAACTTGGAATGAGCACTTCCTTCTCTAAAATTTACCCCTGCGTTGCCCACAAAAGGGTGAGTCAAGTTGAAATGGCAACATCCTTCTCTAAACTTTACCCTCGGGTGGCTCACCAAAGGGTGAGTCAACTTGGAAGGGCAACATTCTTCTCTAAATTGATCCCCCTGCATGGCCCACAAAAGGGTGAGTCAAGTTGAAATGGCAACATCTTTCTCTAAATTTTACCCCTGCATGGCCCACAAAAGGGTGAGCCAACTTGGCATGGCCACTTCCCTCTCTAAATTTTACCCTCCAGTGGCTCACCAAAGGGTGAGTCAACTTGGAATGACCACTTCCTTTTCTAAACTTTACCCTGCCCACAAAAGGGTGAGTCAAGTTGAAATGGCAACTTCTTTTCTAAATTCTACCCTCGGGTGGCTCACCAAAGGGTGAGTCAACTTGGAAGGGCAACATCCTTCTCTAAATTTTGCCCCTGCATGGCCCACAAAAAGTTGAAATGGCAACTTCTTTTCACAATTTTACCCTCGGGTGGCTCACCAAAGGGTGAGTCAACTTGGAAGGGCAACATCCCTCTCTAAATTTTACCACCGCATGGCCCACAAAAGGGTGAGTCAAGTTGAAATGGCAACATCCTTCTCTCAATTTTACCCCTGCGTGGCCCACAAAAGGGTGGGTCAACTCGGCATGGCCGCTTCCCTCCCTAAATTTTACCCCTGCATTGGCCACAAAAGGATGAGTCAAGTTGGAGTGACCACTTCCTTCTCATAATTTTACCCTGTGCGCAAAAGGGTGAGTCAAGTTGAAATGGCAACATTCTTCTCCAAATTTTACCCTCGGGTGGCGCAACAAAGGGTGAGTCAACTTGCAGCTTTCCTGGCCACTGCAGGCAGCACAGGTCCGTAAGCTGGCTCGCTGAGTAGCTGGCCAAATGGGGGATAGAACAGGAGTTCAAAAGTGGTCCTTGTTGTTGTGTGTGTTTTTTCGGGAGATGCATCAAAAAATGCATTAACATAGAATACATAGATGCATCAAAAAATGCATTAACATAGAATACATGACAACACTTGCCATTGCAGGCAGCACAGCTCCGCAAGCGGGCCACCTACAAAAGCCATCGAAAACCAAAGGCAAAAGCCACCAAAACCCAAGAGCCACCGAAAGCGAACCTTCCTTCCTGCCCTGCTGCCTTTCTTCCTTCCATCCATCCTTCCTTGCTTCCTTGCTTCCTTGCTTCCTTGCTTCCTTCCTTCCTTCCTTCCTTCCTTCCTTCCGTCCTGGCTTCGTACCTTCCTTCCTTCCTTCCTTCCTTCCTTGCCTTCTTGCCTTTCTTTGTTTCTTTTCTTTATTTTTTTATTGATGCATTTTTATTTTTTCTTGATGCACTTATATTTTTTTATTGATGCATTTATATTTCTTTTTTGATGCGTCTCCCGTTGGAGCCCCCAAATTGACGTGGCAGTTTCCTTTTGATTCGTGTTCCTGTTCGGTTTGGGAGCTTCGCCTCATCTGGAAAGCATGCTCGGGTTGGAACTCCTTCTTTTCACATGATCTGTGTGTCTTTTAACGTCTGGGGTGGCCAGTGAGACTGGCCAGTCTCGGCCTGCGCCTTTCCTCAAGACCCAGCGCTGCAGTCCACTCTGGTCGTCCTGCCGGAACGCGCGACAAAAACCGCCCAACCGCCGGAACGCGTACCGAAGCGCAAGCACGCGCCGTAGGACGAACCCCACGGGTGTCCAGGCTCCGGCGACCTGCACCGAGTGCCCTTTGCCGAGTGTGCCCTGGTGACCCCGAGTTCGGAGAGTTCGGTGCGTGTGTGTGGGTGACATACTGCAAGTGGTCGCCAAAACCTCGCTATAGACAGACAGAAAGAAACAACTTCGAGGACATCGGGCGTCATCTGTCTGCCAAAGCACCAAAGCATCGTCTACCATTACCATATAGTCGCCCTGCTGAGACGTCTCAACCCCATGCGCTCCTGAGGTGCCAAGAAGGTTACGGTGCCATGCACGTTGGTGCCCAAATAGGACTTCCCCACTGCACCCCCCTGGCTCCGCAGGTGCACAAAGGCCTGGCGAGTTGCCAAAAGAACAGCGAGTTCCGGTTTTAGGTCGTTTTTGCTTCTGCCAATCGGTGGACCGTAACGGTGGTTTGGAAAAATTGACGAAGGCATAGAGCTTCAACAACCCGGAATGACACGTCACGAATGAGGGTGATTTGATGCAGTTGGCCTGAAACCCTTGCCAAAAGCCAGGGAATGATTGGGGACGAAGGACCAAGAACAAGCTAAGCTAAATCAGGTACGCCACAGATCGCCACATAATTTGTTAAACCTGCTTCATCACCTGCTCCTCTCCGTGACTTCGCCTTCACCCTTCACCCCACGTCCAGCCTTTCCCAAAGCAGCACCCGAAAAGGTCTGGACGTTCCCGGCGCCATTGGGCCGGCAATCCAAGGTCTTGTAGCACCTGCCGGCGGACCCGACCCCCCGGGAACCGGTTCCGGTGAGAGCGGAAGGCACCGGAGGACCCCGCGCGGTCTCCCGCGCAGCCCGTCCCTTCCGGAGAGTCAGAAGCGGCTTCGCCGCGACAGAGTGTCAGTTCACCTGCTTCTAGTCTGCTCCTATTCTGCCCCTTGGGCAAACTCCCCACCCTCCAGAGAAGCTCAAAAAGAACACGGCTGTACCTTCACATACGTTCACCTTCTCTGCTGGGCCCCCTATGGGTCGGACCCGAACCGTCTCACACCGCGCGCCGGCGCCTGTATCCGGCGTCCACCCAGACACTCACATGGGTCACGTCGGCATCTTTGGCCAAGCAGTTGGCCCACGCAGTCTTCATCCACGCCTGCAGAAAGGGAAGGGACAGGCGCAGAAACCGTGGCCAGGGGCGCAACAGAAAAGGACTCCACGTCGGAATTCCTAAAACAGATGCGTTTACTATAGTGAATGAAGACACCCTTGCAAATATCAGGAGGAGAAGAGTCTCGCCTACAAAAGGCACCTTGATCCTCTGGCAGGAGGACAATTCATAACAATTCAGGCAACTTGGATTTAAACATTTGGATATATTTGGATAGCAGCTGAGCTTGGCTTTGCAGCAAACACCTCAGGTTTTGTCACCCATGCAAAAACGAAAAGCTCTTCCACATCTCGCCCCCCACCACCACCACAGATCAAACACTTGGGAGAATACAGAAGTGGTGAAACCGCAGGCATCTCCAGGATTCTCCAAATTGCACCGACGACGCTTGTGTCACATCAAGTCTTCGTGTTCGCCAATGTTCCATTTCATTGAAGACAAAAATTATACCAGCGTAGACCCCAAACAGAGCAATGTTCAAAAATGAGATCTCCGAACAATATGGCCAGCAGTATTTCCTAGAGGAAGAAAACTGTAGTCCACCATGTAGACGCACATACAAGATTCAAAGGGAAAGCATTAACATTCTGTTTTTCATTGACCTTACAATGGGACGCCGTACAAGGGCTAAAACATGAAATTTATGGATCCAGGTTGTGACTCAGAGCATCCAGAGCTTACTGGGAGACAAGTGGGAGACAAGTGTGAAATCATGCGGTCAGAGCACTCAGAGCATCCAGCACAAGTATAAAATCATGCGGCCAGAGCACTCAGAGCATCCAGTGCTTACCGGGAGACAACTGGGAGACACGTGTAAAATCATGCGGCCAGAGCACTCAGAGCATCCAGAGCTTACTGGGAGACAAGTGGGAGACAAGTGTGAAATCATGCGGCCAGAGCACTCAGAGCATCCAGAGTCTTATTGGGAGACAAGCGGGAGACAAATGGGAGACAAGTGAGAGACAAATGGGAGACAAGTATAAAATCATACGGCCAGAGCACTGAGAGCATCCAGAGCTTACTGGGAGACAAGTGGGAGACAAGTGGGAGACAAGTGTAAAATCATGCGGCCAGCGCACTCAGAGCATCCAGAGCTTACTGGGAGACAAATGGGACACAAGTATAAAATCATGCGGCCAGAGCACTCAGAGCATCCAGAGCTTACTGGGAGATGCGGCCAGAGCACTCAGAGCATCCAGAGCTTACTGGGAGACAAGTGGGAAACAAATGGGACACAAGTATAAAATCATGCAGCCAGAGCACTCAGAGCATCCAGAGCTTACTGGGAGACAAGTGGGAGACAAGTGTGAAATCATGCGGCCAGAGCACTCAGAGCATCCAGAGCTTACTGGGAGACAAG